CTGCAACGGCTTCGGGCTGTACCGCCTGGCCGCCCGGCTCCCGGCCCTGTGAGCACGCCGCGGCCGCCCGGATCCTGGGGAAAGGGAACTCCTGCTGCCCTGCTCTGCACAGCCATGAGCTTTGGAGATTACACTTCAGCATCCTCAAGCGGAGGGAGAGACTTTTAACTGTCTGAAGCCAGCTCTGCAATGAGAAAAGTCCTCTGTGATGGCAGCAGGAGTGTTTAGGGCTGAACAGGTGTTTGATGCTCCGTGCACTAGGTGGGTCTATCATAGCCATGTATTTCTGCAGTCACAGAGAGACTGCTGAAGAGAAATAAATCAGAGATTTAGAATTACATTCGATTAAATGCTGAAAGCTCATACAGAAGTGCAGAAGACCCTGTATGTTGGTGGTACCAGTCGGTGTAAAGGAGAAGGTTGTTACGTCTGGGTTCAGAATCACTGTCTGCCATTCTTCCTTGTGGTATTTCATGAGGTGAGAAAAAATCACTGTCTCGTTTATTAGTCAGTCTACTTAAAATAGACACATTTATTTCCAGGTTCTATAGGACAATCAGCAAGGCAGCAAAAGGGTCAGTAAAACACAACGCTCCTAAACAAAGAGCTCTGCTCTGCCCTGGCCAGCAGCAGAGCCCAGCAGTGAAAACCCAGCAGCTGCTCAGTCCCAGGCAGGAATGTGGCTTTCTCCACCAGGCAGGTACCTCCCCAGACCTCTGCTGTTAAACCCCAGTGACTACAGCCCACCTCCTAGGCACCCGGGGACTTTTCAGAGGGAGGTAAGCACATTCCCAGCTGCTCTCGCTGCGACTGCAGCCAGTGTCTGGCACTGCTTCAGGTTTATTTCAAAACCCCACGCAGCCTAGCACAGAGGAGACCTTCTGCAAGCCAGCTGGATTTCTTTTCAAACAAATAATCCCCTCTTGTAAGACCTTAGTTCTCCCGTGCTGTTTTTCCTGGAAGTTTTCCTGCGTGCCAAGATTCTTTCTCCCCTGAAGCGTGCAAGGTGTTTTTGTCTGAGCAGGAGTTTGCAGGGATGACAAAGAGCAGCCCCTTGCACAGGATTCCTCTTGTCTCTCTTGCTCATCACAGCCGATGCACCTTCTTGCCAGAGAAGTACTTCTTGGAGAAAGGAGAACTCCTCACAAATGCCAAAACCGTCGGAGTCCCGGCCTTCACAAAATACCTGCCAAGACCAAAGGTGTCCTTTGGCTTCCCCCTGAGAGATGTCTGCCCAGCTCAGTCACGACTGACCTCCCCAAGGCTGAGGACAAGTTTTGCTGCTGATGAGCAGAGTCTCTCAGAGCCAGGGTTACACACATCTGAGGAGGAGTGTTTTATGAATCAACTCTCCTCCCAACAGCCACTGCTAATAAAAGCAGTTGTTATTCTCCCTCTGGAAGGAGTTTTCTTTTGCAGCTGCCCTTACAGGCTGAAATCTGAGGGCTCTTGCACGCTGCAGAGTTTTATGGAGTGACAGATCAGAGGCAGGACCCAGGGCTCTGCTCCCACTGCCACAAACCAAGCCCCTGGCACAGTGCCACAGGCCTTCTCCAGCCAGCTATGAGATGGTGCAAGGTAACAGTGTGGGCTTCACACTAACTTTTTGGCTTCTCAAACAGCAAATTCTTCTCTCTCTCAGTAACAGCACAATGCTCTAAAGCCTGTTTCAGAATGAAACTGTGCTGCATGCTGTGCTGGGGGCTGCTCATGGAGCATTAATAAGCTTCAGCAGCTCTCTTCATATGCTGCTGCTTGGTTTTAGTTGTTTTTTTTTTTGTTTTTTTATTTCCATAGAATCATTAAGGTTAGGAAAGAGCTCTAAGATCAAGTTCACCCATCAGCCCAACACTACCATGACCACTAAACCATGTTCCCAAGGGCTACTTCTACACATTCTTTGATCCCTTCCAGGGATCTTGACTCCACCACCACCCTGGGCAGCCTGGTCTAGTGTCTCACCACTCTTGCAGGAAAGGAATTCTTCCTAATATCCAATCCAAACCTCCCCTGGTGCAACTTATGCCCATTTTCCCTTGTCCTGTCACTAGTTACTTGGGAGAAAAGACCAAAACCCACCTCACTCCAATCTGCTTTCAGGGAGTTGTAGAGCACAATAAGGTCTCCCCTCAGCCTCCTCTTCTCAAGGCTCAACACCCCCAGTCCCCTCAGCTGCTCCTCATGAGCCATGTTCCCCAGACCCCTCACCAGCTCTGTTGCCCTTCTCTGGACCTGCTCCAGCCCCCCAAAGTCTTTCTTATCCTGTAGTGCCCCAAACTGGCTGTGGTACTTAAGTTGTGGCCTCCCCAGTGCTGAGTACAGGAGTGCAATCACTTCCCTACTCCTGCTGGACACACTATTTTTGAGCCAGGCTAGGATGCTGGTGGCCTTCTTGGCCACCTGGGCACAATGCTGGCTCATGTTCAGCTGTCTGTTCACCAGCACCCCCAGCTCCTTTTCTGCCAGGCAGCTTTCCAGCTTTTTAAAGTAGTAGTGTGTAGATGACCTGAAACAGCCCTTTTGTGCTGCTGCTTGTGTGTAGCCTGAAAGGAGTTGTTAATTTTTTTTTAAAAAAAAAATACCTAAGTTGCTAAAGTCAGGGACAAACCTCATGCCTTACACCTTCAGGACTTAGTACTGTTAAATCAGAGAAGAGTGAGGGCTATTAAAGTCCAAGGGTTAAGACTATTAAACCAGAGAACAAACTGCACTTGAGGCTCAAAGCTCACACTTTTTGCCTGCATGCTCTCTCTGGACACGAGCAGGTACAACCTCACCTTTTGTGCTGCAGTACTTGTAGCAACGTCTGCTCTGGGCTCAGCTCGTACATTTCTGCTCTTTCTTCATCTTCAAAGTAGAGCTGAGAACAATATTGGGGGGTTATTAAATACCTGAGGTACATGAAGGTAAACTACTAAGTGAAATGAACAGCACACAATATATGTTCTAGAGGTTTATCAGACTTCTGGAGGTTGACCTGACTGTATTGGGTACTAACTGCAGCAATGTAGAAGTTGTTTTGTGTAAATTCTGAGTCCTCCCTGTATAAACCAGCTTATCCTCTTATGGCAGCAGGGAGGCAAAACACTTCAGCTCTTCCTGTGCTTGACAGAGAACCAATCCAAATCTGCAGGCTCCTTTTTAACAGGTGAAATGCAGCAATGGTATGAGCTAAACTGAGCAGGTTTAAAGATATCTGAACAAAATCAAGTAGATTTAAGAGATTCAAATCCAGCAGCTGTGCCTGAGACTGTACATACACACAGAGCTATAACCCCAGTTTTGAACCTGAAGGACACAGCCACTGTCCTCTTGGACCTCTCCCCTTCCTCCACTGTTGCCTGGCACATGTGACACTGAAGTGGAAAATGAAAAATAAACATCTGTACCCTTCTGTGTGCAATTTCTGAAAACTCCCCAAAACCTGCTGCAGCCATAACCAACTCACATCCCACCTTTGCTAAAGGTTTTAATAGACATATATTGTCTCGACGGGATTAAGTGTTTAAGTACCTCCAGTTGGTTCTGAAAATAACTTATTTTTCTTTTAAATCACATTTTCTCATTTGTATTGAGCAACTTCACACCACAGTTAAAAAAAAAGGCAGTCTACCAGCTTGATGGTCTAAATCTTATAATTACAAAGATGGGAATCTAAGCAATACCTATAAATACCTTCAATCAAATACAACATAAATGGAAGATTAAAACTTTCACTTTCATTACTGAATTCTGTGTCAGCATATCTGGAAAATATTTGAATTTATAACTGACTGTAGCTCTCCAGACCCTTATTTCACATCTGCATATGGCAAAGAGGTAACGATGTCATTGCTTCCATATACTCAAACCCATGTATTTTCTCACTCCATGGAAAAAAACTCACAACCCAACAACCCTGAAACAGAAGGAAGGTCAAACTCTCACCTCGAGATTTCTGGGAAGGTATTTTCTTTCTAAATCCCAAGGGGGTAACTCAGCAAACATCACCATTAAATGATCAATAAACCTAGAAGCCCAAATACACTTGGTTAGCTTAGACAAAGCATTCAGCTTCAATAATTTGTGCAGTGGCATTTGAAGGATGATAAAAATACATTAGCAAATTAGACAAGAGACTTTAAAGGAAGTTTAGATCACGAACAGTTACTACTCAAACACCTCCTTTCTGCAAGGATGCTGCAGACAGTGCACTCACCTGGAGTTCTCATGGAAAGCTTCAATGAAGTCTGTCTGCTCGTGCTCAGGGTACAGGAAGAGGACAGGCCAGTTTAGGTTGCCTTCAGCATCTAAGTGCACCTTGGCACCAGTGGCATTGTCAGGGTGGAACCCATCTAAGGATATCTCAGCCAGGCCATCTGCTACTTCCTCTTCTTCGTTTGAAGGCTCAAGAACCAGCTTGATATTTCTTTCCTGAAGGGTAAGGAGGAGAGAAAAAAAAAATAAAACCAAAATCCAACCAAAAGAGGTATGGTGAGGAGATCTGACTTTACATTACAGCCCCAAATACTGCAACATAGCCCAAACATTAGCTGAGGAAGGAGAGGAACCAGGATTGATTCTCTCCTCCACTCTACTGGATGGTTATCTCCTAGCCTGCCACTGAAGCGTGGTGGCAAAGAAAGCAAGGTTCACTGGGCTAGTGTGAGGCCACAGCCCAGTAGCCAGAGCAATCCTTGGCTGCTCAGTCCACCCCTGAACACTGGGTATGTAACTCTGCATTAGTTGTTACCTGAAATCTGGAAACAGGCCTGGGAGCTCAGGCTAAAGCCACACAGATAAGGAGAATCATGGGTTTAGTACAATATTTTGGCTCTAGCCCCCAAAAGCTTGCAGGAACATCTCAGGACTAACAAAAAAGCTCCTAAAAAAACACCCAAACAACAAAACAGACCACCCAAACCCAAACCCTTGCCAACCCACCTTTATTGCTGCAAGCAAAACTTCCTTTTGACGCTGCTCTTTCCTCTCCAGCACCTTTGCTCTCCTGGCATCCCGCTCCTCAGCTCGCTACAGGTAAGAAAGGATTGCACCATGGTCACTCGTGGCAAGTCAATGCCTGTCCCTGCTCCACACTGCCAGTGAGCTGAGAAACCAGTTCACACCTCCAGAAGGGACCCTTCTGGAGATCCTTCCCCTACACACCTCGACAATGCACGCGACGTGGAACCACCACACAGCTCTGTTTGGGGATATCACACCACACAGGAACTTGTACAGAGCACTCATCAACCAAGGATCCCACAGTGCTTCTGGACACAAAGCAAGTGATGACCCCTGCAGAGGCCAGACTGCTGTAATATTTACCTTCAGTTTGTCAGCTTTAGCTCTCGTTTCCACAAGCTTTTTCTCCTTCGAATCTATTCTCAAGCCCTCCTCACACCACGCTATTGCTTCAGAGAAATTCTTTAGCTCCATGTGACAGAGAGCTCCTGGAAGGATTAAGATTTTAAGTTTCTAGCATTGGAGTCAATATACAACTACTACCCACAGCAGTGGTTATAAAGACAGTGTCAGCCCCAGTGCTTTCAGGAGGTGTAGACAGCAGCACGTGCTGTGTCGTGTTCAATCACAGGCTTCCAGCAGCTCAGCTGAGAAGAAAATCTGAACTATTTCAGCATTTCTTCTATCATTTGCTCATCTAGTCACAGCAATCAGCAAAATTTTATCATTATTAACATATCAGTATTTGTCTCATGAGAAATGAAGTGGCAGTTTCCATGGAGTGAGGAAAAAAAAACCCCAAATCCCTAAAACTAACGGAAAACAGCAAAAGTTATGTTATGCTCTACAGAAATAGGTTCAATGCCTCTTTGACAGATATAGAAGCTGAAGAGCAAAGAGCAAAAAGATCAGTGTTTTGGCTGAAAATTAGAAAAAGCAAAACACAGAGCTCTGTTTTGGGGGGAGAAACAGCACTAACAAGAGAAAAAAAATCTTACAGTAACCATTTTGATTTTCTGAAACAAACTCTCTCTGGGAACAAAGTATGGTGCCCACTGCCAGTAACTTAAAGTTTATAAACATTTAACACACAGAAACATGAAGTGAAACAAAGTAACATCCAGCAACAGTCTCATCTGGGTAAAACAACAAACAAAACAGCTTTGCAAAGCTGTTTCCAAAGGATGTTCTTTGCCCTCCCTGCTACAACAACTGCTGTGACTCCTACCTCTGATGATTGCTTTGAGATGGGTGGGCTTGAGCTTTTTGGCTTGGATGGCATCGTTGAGAGCAGAACGGTAGTTACCTACAAGGCAAGAAAAAGTGCTCAGAACCTTTAATTTATAATTTAAACCCCAACCAGATCTCAAGGTGACAAAATAGTTTATGCAGAGACTCTATAATTAATTGTACCTACAACTGCTGTGAGCGAGTGCAGGAAAAAAGAGCAAACTAAGAGCAAGAAGTGAAGCACAAGAATCAGTCATACAGGTGAGAGGTAATTAATGTCACTGTGAGCAAACCATCTCCTAGCTGCAACACACAACAGCATTAAAAGGCCACAAACACCTTCCCTGCTGCACAGATGCTGTTGGTAGGATGGGTGGTAGCTTGAGGACATGGCCAAAAAGGAGTAACAGGATGTGCTGCTTCAAAAAATTTTTGATGCCAGGGCATCCCCTTGTAGTTTCCATCACCCTGTGAATCTATTCACCCTCAAAAGCTGCTGGCTTTGCCCTCTCCTGGAGCCAAGGCTTGTGCAGCAGGTAACAGTTGTGATGAACAAAGCACAAACCCTAAGTGCAGTCCTGCTTTGAAGGGAGCCGCATCTTCAGGGTGCAGGGTGTCTTTTTTCTCATGAGTAAGCTATTCAGTATGCTGCATCACAAAAAGCAGTGAAGAAGAGGAAAAGCCCTGGCTCCCAGCCCGGCATGGCGCTGGTCTCCTTACCCAGGTGGAACTCTGCAGCCCCTCGGTTTGTGTGCAGCACGGCGTTCAGCTCGGGGTCCTCGCTCTTCTTGCGCAGCCCCTCGGTGTAGGCGACGATAGCTCTCCTGTAGTCCTTCTCCTTGAAGTACTCGTTCCCTTCGTTTTTGTACATCCTGGCCAGCTCTGTGGGGAACAGGGCCTGAGCAAGGGGCGCAGGGCCCCGGGAACGCGCTGATCCCCGTCCCCCGGCCGGGGGGCAGGCAGCCAGACCCCCCGCTCAGCCCCGGCC